CGCCGTTTCCGGGGGGGCGAACCAGCTCACTTTCACGGCCTCGTTGCTCAGCGCCTCGACCGTCGGCGTCGCCGGGTCGCCGGGCAGGTCCGGCGGCGTCCGCGCGTTGTAGGTCGGGTCGCTGAAGGGGCCCTCGCCGACGGACGACACCGCGGACGCGCGGACGCGGTAGTCGAAGCCCGGCCGCAGCCCGTCGAAGGCCGCGGCCATGAGGATGCCCTTGGCCAGCTTCGCGAAGCGCGCGTCCTCCTGCCGCTTCTGCTCGTCCGCGGCCAGGGCCTTGATCGTCGCGCGCCGCTTCTTCTCGATCTTCCGCGTCTTCCGCTCCTTCTCCTCGGGCGCGAGCTCCTCGTCGTCGAGGGCCCTGGCGGCCTCCGTGAACTTGACGAGGGCCGACTCGGGCACCTCGAAGGTCTTGCCCTTGGTCGCCGGGCCGGACCGGCGCCAGATGTTCGCGTCCTCCCTGATCTGCGACGACAGGAGGTGCTCGACCTCCAGAGCCAGCGTCCGCCCCTCCTTCCACGTCACGAAGCGCTCGAACTGGGGCTTCCCGGCGAAGTCCGCGCCCTCGCCGGCGCACTGCACGCGGAACTTCTGGATCGCCGTGCCCTCGACCGTCGCGAGCGGCGCGTGCCACGCGACGACCATGCGCGTGGGCGCGAAGGAGCCCCGGATGACGATGGGCTGCTCGAGGGCCTCGGGCGCGCCGACTTTCGTGACGTGCTGCGCCGACGGCTCACTCCAGCGGCCCTGGCCCATGCGGTTCACGGCACAGATGCGGAACTGGTAGTTCTGGCCCGGCGTGAGCCCGCCGACGGTGCGCTTGAACGTGGACCCGTCCACCGTGGACTCGTGGCCGAAGGCCTCGCGCAGGCCCACGCGCCACTGGATCTTGTAGGCGACGATCTCGTCGTTGTAGGCCGGCGGCGCGCGCCACGCGAGCGACGCCGCGCGGCGGCCCGCGTCCGCGACGGCGCAGCGCTCCGGCGGGTCCGGCGGCTGGGGCGTGAGGAACCACGATTTCAACGTGCGGTCGCTGGAGCAGGAGAGCATGGCGCTCGAGTTGCGGAACAGCACGCAGCGGTAGACGACGTCGTCGTGGCCGAAGAAGCGCCGCAGCATCTCGCCGTTGACCGTGTTCCACAAAATGAGAAAGTTGTCCATGCCGCAGCTCACGAGCCGCAGCCCGTCCTCGGAGAACGCGTTGCCCATGACCGCGTCCTCGTGGCCCGCGAGCGTCCGCACGCACTGGCCCGTCTGCGGCGCCCACAACCGCACGGTCTTGTCGTTCGAGCACGACGCGACGCGCTTCTCGTCGACGGACCAGGCGACCTGGTTCACGGTGTGGTGGTGCGCGTGGAAGTCGCCATCGGACGCCCAGAACGTGCGGAGCTCGCCGCCGGCGACGCGCGCGGCCGTCGCGAGGCGCCGCTCCTCGCGCGCCTCGTCGAGCTTGGACGCGGGCTTGCCCGCAGGC